TCTCTCTCTCTCTCTCTCTCTCTCTCTTTCTCCCCCCCACCTCTCTCTCTCTCTCTTTCCCTCTCCCTCATCTTTCCTTATCATAACATAACATATAAAGTATTCTGTGTGCTGATCAAAAATGTCTAAATCCTCAACAGACTGGGATGCGATGTATGGATTGTGGTTACAACTGCCATGAGAAGTGTATAGAGTCTGTACCAAAGAACTGCACCAGGTTTAAGAGTGTGAGGGAATCAGGAGTGAGTATACAAACGAGCACAAAACCGACCAGCTTAGACAACACTTCAGTTGGATCAGGTATGGGATATATTTCAGAACTAGGGCAGTTATATCATTGCTTGGGTGTGTTGAAAACAGATACATATGGATATATATTTATATCACATGTCTGAAGGAACAGTACATCTTCTAAAATGAAAATGTCCTTTCAAATATTAGGACTTTTAACTATATAGAAATCTGCTTAATTTTATCAAACATCTGGTACCAACTATCACAGGAAAGGAACCTTGCTGTTGCCAAAGTTGTTCCTTCAGACACGCTATATCTCAGGAAAAAGTGAAACACTTACATATATTCTACAAATTCTATAAACAAGTGATGACTGTTTTCTACATGAATATATCCTTTCAGGGGTTACTTCATTGCAAACTACATCTCATCAGTACTATGAACAGTTTTCTTCTAATGTTGCTGAAAACCGCACACATGAGGGTTACTTATGGAAACGTGGTTCACTTCTCAAAAACTGGAAACAGCGTTGGTTTGTACTCGATAGCATGAAGCATCAACTGAGATACTATGACAGCATGGAAGACTCACACTGCAAGGGTATCATAGGTATGTTGCAGAACTGTTGCTTCTTGTCTGTTAGTCTCTTTGAATTATGACTACATCAGTATATTAGATACAACAGGGATTTTATTATTATTATCACCAGATTCTTTTTTGTTTTCCTTTAGAATTGTCTGATGTTGTTGCTGTGGTTCCATCTGGCCCAACCCAAGGAGCACCAAAAAAGGTTGATGAGAGAGCCTTCTTTGACGTAAGTTTTCCATTTAGATTTTCTGTGTGGTTGTATATATGTATATATATATATATATGTATGTATATATATATATATATATGTATATATATATATATATATATATACATACATATATATATATATACATATATATATATATATATACATACATACATACATACATGCATACATACATACATACATACATACACACACATACACATACATATATGCATATATATATACATATATACATATATGTATGTGTGTGTGTGTGTCATGATGCCCTAAGTCTGATCTAAAATGGGTATATATTATTTGTATTTGCAGTTATCATATCCTGTAACATTCTTATTACTATGAAAAAGTCTAATGTTCTAAATGTTATTACAGCTGCAGACAAAGCGCCGCCTGTATAACTTCTGTGCATCGGATGGTGCAGCTGCTCAGGAGTGGATTGAAAAGATCCAGTCATGTCTGCAATAGATGGAGGAAGAAAAGAAACGTAATAACTTCGTATAGCATACATTATACGAAGTTATACGATCTCTCTCTCTCTCTCTCTCTCTTTCTCCCCCCCACCTCTCTCTCTCTCTCTCTCTCTCGTAATAACTTCGTATAGCATACATTATACGAAGTTATACGAAAAAAGGTTGATGAGAGAGCCTTCTTTGACGTAAGTGTTCCATTTAGATTTTCTGTGTGGTTGTACATACATACATATATATATATATATATACATACATACATACATACATGCATACATACATACATACATACATACACACACATACGCATACATATATGCATATATATATACATATATATATATATGTATATGTGTGTGTGTGTGTGTCATGATGCCCTAAGTCTGATCTAAAATGGGTATATATTATTTGTATTTGCAGTTATCATATCCTGTAACATTCTTATTACTATGAAAAAGTCTAATGTTCTAAATGTTATTACAGCTGCAGACAAAGCGCCGCCTGTATAACTTCTGTGCATCGGATGGTGCAGCTGCTCAGGAGTGGATTGAAAAGATCCAGTCATGTCTGCAATAGATGGAGGAAGAAAAGAAACCGTGCTATTTTCTTAGCACTGCGTTTAATGTGCTTTGCTGAAATCTTCCAAACAATTGGCTGTCAACTTTTTGTTCAGTATTATTGTGGTGTTTTTGAGGCAATTACATTATTTCTCTTTCCTTGTTCATTTTCTTTTTTTCTTCTTCCTTTCACTTCCTTTCTCCCAATATAAATTTCTATGTAAATACAAAATTTTGATTAGAAGAAATTTTGCATAGGATATTTTCCTTTACCTTTTGTTTTATCATCATCATGAATATTCTTTATTTAAACAAAAATATATAGAGTTGAGTAGCTACATATATGAGTGATACATATTATGAAGATTAATATTACTATATATTGTCTTAAGAAAAGACCCACTTTAGATGTAGGCCTAGTGAGGTCAAGAGGGGTGCATATTATGGAGAAGAATGCTTTAATTATTTATGGAACCTGAATGCGTGCCTCAATATAAATTGATATATATCCTATTGAAATTGGTATTAGAATCCTGCAACTTTCTTAACAATGGAAAAATACACACATTTAAAGAAGGCAATAAATGCTAAAAGGTTTTGGTATTTCTGCCAGGATATCATCTAACTTTGTATATCTAGGGGACCAAAACTTTCCATAGAGTATCATTTGAAGTGAGATCTCCATTCTTGGGTTAGTTGTCTCACTCATACCGAAACCTTGATGGAAAGGAGACAAGGTGTTGTTATCCACATAGCATTAGAAGAATTAGCTTTTACAGTATCCTATTCCTTTGGGTTGCATGTAGGATGTTTTAATGTTTTGGGCCTTTTGCACTTTTCCTCAGGAAATTTGTAATAAAGGTTCAAAAGATA